TTAATTGGAAAAATAAAATATGATTTTTAAAATTCAAAACATAGGTATATATTTAGGTATATATTTATACATAGGTGCACAAAATGAACAAAACCGTTACGAACAAAGAACAAAACCATTAAAACATGATTTTCACACAAAAACATAATAATTAATATTTACTGCACGAATCATATGAGTCGGGTGTGGGTCTTCACCTCCGCCAAACCCCCGAGACTGACTCACCGAACCCCTGGGGTTCGATCGAACCCAGGTTAAGAACCACTGATCTAGCTTCTTGCCTGTTCTTATGATAAATGAAAAGTGTTTTAGTCTTGGCAGGGAAGACAACAGGTGTATCAAGGCTTTGTAGGCCTTAAGAAAACAAAAAGGTCAGTGTGTGTCAGCTGAAGAATGTATGGATATGTGTGTGTGTGTCCGGCTATATGTCTAAGGCACATCTTACATATCTTTTAAAAGACCAAAAGAAATTCAGCCCACTAAACAGTTATTTCCTAATTCATTGTGAGCTAAATATGTAAGAGCCTTTTTTTGTAAATCTTCTATACTTGTAATTCATAGTGTGACGTTATCTTCCTACCTTAGTCGACAGAAAAACATGATACTGTTACAATGGACTGTTTTGTGATCTACACAAACATAAGCTTCACATAACTTATTCTTTTACAACTTTCAACATAAAGACAATCAATAACAATAATTGAGACTATACCTATCACACACTATTGCTAATTAATTAACTATATGAAATAATTATCTAACTAACCATATTATGGAATAGACATGATTTTCTTTATAAAAGACATATTCTTTCTTTGCTTCTTATAGAATTCCGGTCGCTATTCTGAGATGGGAAGCCCATGACCTACTGACCTCTTAGTCAAGAATATACCATGGTTCATCTTGAACACCTGTTTTTCAAAGCCATTCACACATGCATGGTTAAATTACTCTGGCACAGTGACTTTCCATGTCACTAGGTTAGTCAGAGATATTAAAGAATACAGATGTCTGTTTTAGGTGAATTAATAATTCTACACTGTTTCTTCCTCTCTTCTTTCTTCTCTTCCTTTTGGTCTCTCCTCTTCAATTTCCCCATCTGATGCTCTTCATCTCTTTCTTCATTTCACACTGTTGGTCTACCGCCCAGATGATTTCTTTAACCCACTCTTCTTGCTCCTTGCTTTTTAACTTTCCGGTATGCCGCACCATTTTATCAAACAGTTTCCCTCCTTTTCTTATTCCTCTTTCTCCTTTTGGTTTCTCTTCTTCACTTTCCCCATCTGTTTGATACTCTTCATCTCTTTCTTCCTTTCACATTGTTGGTCTACCGTCCAGATGATTTCTTTTACCCACTCTTCTTGCTCCATGCTCCTTGCTCCTTCACATTCCGGTATACCGCACCACTTTATCAGATAGTTTACCTCCTTCTGTTTTTCCTTTTCCTCCTTTATCTTTCTCTCCTCATCTTTCTTCATCTGCTTGTTTCTCTCCTTTTCACTCATGCCCTCTATTTCCTTTTTCCGTCTTGCCTCCATCTCCTCCTTCCATGCTAGCACCCGATGGAGGGATCTTACAGTCTGCGGTTGATCATGCCACTTCCTTATGTTCTCCCACTTTTCCTTCACCTTTCTCCTCTTCTCTTCTTCTTCCTAAGTAGGAGATTTAAAAAAATGGTTAGTACGGGTTTTAAAATGAAAATTAAAAGCTCTTTTTCACATTTACGATAGAGTGGGGAAAAGGTTACATGTTTTCTAAGGTATGGGAAGATTTCCCCTCACTTCTTATTCGTTCAGTAGGTGATGAAGTGAGTGGACGCCTTCCGTTATTTCTCCACTATCTGACAATGTCATAAGGTCACCCTGCAGACATGACCTGACCGCCTTCAGGTATTTACATCCTTGGATTCCTTATTCTGAATGGTCATTGTGGCGGAATCGTTCCGCCTGGGCTTCCTCGTGCGGAGCAGTGCGTCTCAGCCAATGGTCCCCTTTTTTAGCAAGTCTTCCAGCGCTCTGCCAAGGCAGGTATTAGAGCTCAAAATCAATCCTTCACGGATATCCCAAACCCCGAGTCGGAACTTTGTGTAGGGTGAAATAAATTACTCTTAATTAAACACAGCTCAATATATACAGCTTCACCCCCACCAGACAGCCTGGCACCGGGTTTTCCCCACCCACAACAAAACCCTACAACCAACAATACAGTAGGAACTCTATAGAAGCTAAATACTACAAGGTCACATTACCCTAAACAAACTGTGTACAATGTCTGTGAAACATATATACAGCTATACAAAGTGGAGAAAACTGAAACAGAAGGGGGCAAAATGTTATCACAAAGAGACGGTTCCTCACAGTCATGTCATATCTACATCACCCATGCAATGTAGGGGGAGGGGGATCATTGCCTGGGTACATTTAAAAGCAGTCTGGAGCTTGGCTTTAACCTTCATCTCTCGCTGTCATGACAATTTTAAAATTTGGGATTTCTTTGGTTTCAGTGACAGTTGTCACCAGGTCTAATCAAGAGGTAAATCTCAGCCTGTAATAAAAATTTAGCAGAGAATCTAACCCATATTTGCTTTACTCATTACTTGGCTGATTAAGCTGAAAAGTAAATACACTGCCTATATGAGGTCAGAAAGGAATCTCTCTCCTTATGGGACAAAATTCCCCTTCCCCCTCTCTCTCTACCCCCCCCCCTCTCTCTCTCTCTCTCTGTCCCTGCCTCCCTCCCTCCTAAGCTGTATAAAGGTTACTTACGTTCTCCTGGCTAAGCAGATCCATAAACTGTTGTTCCTCATCTTCATCAATTAATTCTTCCTTTTGCTCTGTTCCGTGTCTCTTCTTTCAACATCTTCCTCTCCACTTCATACTGCATTTCTAATTCTGAGTAGAGGGCATTCCATATCTCTGCTTGCTGATGTTCAATGTCCCCTTCTTCATTGCCTTCCATTCTTTTTTCAGCAGCTTCTTCATCTTCTCCTGTATCACCTTCGCTTTCTCCTTCTCTTTTCCCTTCTTCATCCTTTCCTCTGTCTCCTTCTTCTTTTCAAAGTCCACCGTTATCTTCCAGTCCAGTTCTCCAACCTTCTGTAATTCTTTCATCACCTTCTTCTTCATCTCATATTTTTTCACTTTCTCCTCTTTTGCCTTCCTTCTCTCCTCTGCTGTCTTGTTAAAATCGCTAAACCACTACTTTCTGTACTTCTCATCTTTTTCTCTTTTAATAATCTGTTTCTTCCTCTCCACTTCTGTCAGGAATTGACTGGCCAGCAATGGTGGGACTCACCTGCCTTTTGATCTGCAGTACCAGGGCTGGCCAGCGGATGCTCCCAGCAATCAGAGACTCAACTTTGCAGCCAGCTAACACCTGGAACTGATTATGCTGGGGTATTTAAGGGATGGCCAGACCCACAGACTCTGCCTTGGTGTTTGTCCTGGGCCCTGTATCCTGTTTCTGTCCTGCATCCTGTTTCTGAACCGCTGCTGACTTCTCCTGCTCTGATCCCGGCTCGTTCCTGACCATCCCTCTGTCTGACCCTCTGTACCTCGCTGCTTGCTACCTGCTGAACCTGGCCTGTGACCCCGACCATTCTCTGCTTGCTCCCCCTGTACCTACCTGCCCAATTGATATTGACCCGGCCTGCCTGACGACGCTTGCTTGTATGTACTGTTATCTGTGGGTGGTTGGTTTGGTTTGTTTGCACTGTATTATGTTTAGTATTGCACTGCGTTTATGTTTGTATGGTTAGTGTTAATAAATTATATTGTTTATCACATTTCTGAAGTCTGCGTTTCCCTGCATCAGTCACACACCTCTGGTCATACCTGGGAGCCCTGACATTACACCAAGGCCAATCCTGACCAGAAGTGGCTGCACAGGGAAGCCATCTTGGCTTGTTGATGGGAAGGATGGATCTGGATGAGGTTGAGTATTTATCTCTGCTAGTGCTTGATGACAGAAAATTTCCTTTTCAGACTCTGAAGGAGTATCCCCGGGATGAACTGCTAGAATGTATACGGCTCGCTCATGTTCTAGTAGATCAGGGCACAGAATTCTCTATGGTGCAGCCTTTGATTCAGGTTTGTGCTGAGTTGGTTTCATCTGGTTCCCCCGAATGCAGGGATGAATTTTTGCCACCATTTAGTGCAGACCAGTAGAGTCCCTGGTGTGGTTATTAGAGGATGATGTGGGTTACTTTCTGGAGCGTTATTCAACATGTTCACCACAGGTACTAAGAGATTGTATAAACGCAGTGCAGTCATTGACCAGACAGGCTTTGTGTAAGCTCAGCTTTGTTCAACCCCTACTGCAGACATGGACAGACTTGTTGCACCCAGCCTCAGTCAGCTTACAAAGACCCAGTCCTGCTTCTAACTCTACTCCTGTATTCCCACCAGCTCCTCCAGTTACAGCCCAGTATACTTGGCTATCTACCGCATGTCAGTCCCCTGCTCCCACTCGCTGCACCTATCCTGCCTTTAACCCTGTAAAGAAGCCCTCTGTAGCAACTGTTCCCTCTCCTGTTCCATCCTCCAGCTCTTCTCTGTCTCCAGCTGCTCCTTTCGTTTGCAGACCTGCGTTTACTTGCAGTGCTCCAGTAGTTAAAACCAGAAAAAAGCGAAAATTCTTTCCAACCAACGGTGAGCCTGCCTTCCGTGACTTGGCCTGAAGCCTCTACTCGGCCTGAAGCCTCTACTCGGCCTGAAGCCTCTACTCGGCCTGATGCCTCTCTTCAGCCTGAAGCCTCTACTCAGCCTGATGCCTCTCTTCAGCCTGATGCCTCTCTTCAGCCTGATGCCTCTCTTCAGCCGGATGCCTCTCTTCAGCCGGATGCCTCTCTTCAGCCGGATGCCTCTCTTCAGCCGGATGCCTCTACTCAGCCTGAAGCCTCTACTCAGCCTGAAGCCTCTACTCAGCCTGAAGCCTCTACTCAGCCGCCTGATGCCGCTACTCAGCATGATGAACTGATCCAGCCCGACGGTCCTATTAGGCCAGTTGACTCGATGCCCGCTGTTGATCCAGATGATCCGGGTACCTGATCCAGTGCCCGCTGTCGTGCCAATTGACTCAGAGCCCGCTGTCATACCTGGTGACCCGGTGCCACACTGCCTTGCCAGATGACGCGGTGCCCGCTGGCAAGCCAAATGACCTGATGCCTGGTGACCCAGTGCCCGCTGTCATACCTGGTGACCCGATGCCCCTGTCGAGCCAGACAGTCCGATACCTGATGACCCGGTGCCCACTGTCGTGCCTGTTGACTCGGAGCCCACTGTCTTGCCAGACGACTCGGTGCCCGCAGTCTTGCCCAGACGACTCGGTGCCCGCAGTCTTGCCAGACGACTCGGTGCCCGCAGTCTTGCCAGACGACTCGGTGCCCGCAGTCTTGCCAGACGACTCGGTGCCCGCAGTCTTGCCAGACGACTCGGTGCCCGCAGTCCCGCCAGTTGACTCGATGCCCCTGTTCCCGCCAGACGACTCGGTGCCCGCAGTCTTGCCAGACGACTCGGTGCCCGCAGTCTTACCAGATGACTCGGTGCCCGCAGTCTTGCCAGACGACTCGGTGCCCGCAGTCTTGCCAGACGACTCGGTGCCCGCAGTCTTGCCAGACGACTCGGTGCCCGCAGTCTTGCCAGACGACTCGGTGCCCGCAGTCTTGCCAGACGACTCGGTGCCCGCAGTCTTGCCAGACACGACTCGGTGCCCCCAGCAGTCTTGCCAGACGACTCGGTGCCCGCAGTCTTACCAGACGACTCGGTGCCCGCAGTCTTGCCAGACGACTCGGTGCCCCGCAGTCTTGCCAGACGACTCGGTGCCCGCAGTCTTGCCAGACGACTCGGTGCCCGCAGTCTTGCCAGACGACTCGGTGCCGCAGTCTTGCCAGACGACTCGGTGCCCGCAGTCCCGCCAGTTGACTCGGTGCCCGCTGTTCCGCCAGACGACTCGGTGCCTGCAGTCTTGCCAGACGACTCGGTGCCCGCAGTCTTGCCAGACGACTCGGTGCCCGCAGTCTTGCCAGACGACTCGGTGCCCGCAGTCTTGCCAGACGACTCGGTGCCCGCAGTCCTGCCAGACGACTCGGTGCCCGCAGTCCTGCCAGACGACTCGGTGCCCGCAGTCTTGCCAGACGACTCGGTGCCCGCAGTCTTGCCAGACGACTCGGTGCCCGCAGTCCCGCCAGTTGACTCGATGCCCGCTGTTCCGCCAGACGACTCGGTGCCCGCAGTCTTGCCAGACGACTCGGTGCCCGCAGTCTTGCCAGACGACTCGGTGCCCGCAGTCTTGCCAGACGACTCGGTGCCCGCAGTCTTGCCAGACGACTCGGTGCCCGCAGTCCTGCCAGACGACTCGGTGCCCCGCAGTCCCGCCAGACGACTCGGTGCCCGCAGTCCCGCCAGACGACTCGGTGCCCGCAGTCCCGCCAGACGACTCGGTGTCCGCTGTTCCGCCAGACGACTCGGTGACCGCAGTCTTGCCAGACGACTCGATGCCCGCTGTTCCGCCAGTTGACTCGGTGCCCGCAGTCTTGCCAGACGACTCGGTGCCCACTGTCGTGCCTGGTGACTCGGTGCCCGCCGCTTCGTCTGGGGGCCCGAGACCTGTTGCTCCGCCTGAGGGCCCGAGACCTGTCGCTCCATCTGGGGGTCCGGCGCCCGCCGCTCCGCCTGAGGGCCCGAGACCTCTCGCTCCATCTGGGGGTCCGGCGCCCGCCGCTCCGCCTGAGGGCCCGAGACCTGTCGCTCCATCTGGGGGTCCGGCGCCCGCCGCTCCGCCTGAGGGCCCGAGACCTGTCGCTCCATCTGGGGGTCCGGCGCCCGCCGCTCCGCCTGGGGGTCCGGCGCCCGCCGCTCCGCCTGAGGGCCCGAGACCTGTCACTCCATCTGGGGGTCTGGCGCCCGCCGCTCCGCCTGGGGGTCCGGCGCCTGTCGCCCCGCCTGGGGGCCCGAGGCCTGTCGCCCCGCCTGGGGGCCCGAGGCCTGTCGCCCCGCCTGGGGGCCCGAGGCCTGTCGCCCCGCCTGGGGACCCGAGGCCTGTCGCCCCGCCTGGGGGCCCGGTGCCTGTCGCTCCGCCTGGTGGCCCGCTGCCTGCTGCTTCGCCTGGTAGCCCGATGTGCCTCTGCCCGGAGTCCTGCCCGATGTGCCTCTGCCCGGAGTCCTGCCCGATGTGCCTCTGCCCGGAGTCCTGCCCGATGTGCCTCTGCCCGGAGTCAAGCCCGATGTGCCTCTGCCCGGAGTCCAGCCCGATGTGCCTCTGCCCGGAGTCCAGCCCGATGTGCCTCTGCCCGGAGTCCAGCCCGATGTGCCTCTGCCCGGAGTCCAGCCCGATGTGCCTCTGCCCCGGAGTCCAGCCCGATGTGCCTCTGCCCGGAGTCCAGCCCGATGTGCCTCTGCCCGGAGTCCAGCCCGGTGTGCCTCTGCCCGGAGTCCAGCCCGGTGTGCCTCTGCCCGGAGTCCAGCCCGGTGTGCCTCTGCCCGGAGTCCAGCCCGGTGTGCCAGTCTTTGATATCCCGCCAGTTACCAGACCCGGGCGGTGGAACATTTTTCCCAGCTAGGACTGTTTGGAGCGTCCTGAGGCCGCTCCTTGAGGGGGGGGGGTACTGTCAGGAATTGACTGGCCAGCAATGGTGGGACTCACCTGCCTTTTGATCTGCAGTACCAGGGCTGGCCAGCGGATGCTCCCAGCAATCAGAGACTCAACTTTGCAGCCAGCTAACACCTGGAACTGATTATGCTGGGGTATTTAAGGGATGGCCAGAGACCCACAGACTCTGCCTTGGTGTTGTGTTTGTCCTGGGCCCTGTATCCTGTTTCTGTCCTGCATCCTGTTTCTGAACCGCTGCTGACTTCTCCTGCTCTGATCCCGGCTCGCTCCTGACCATCCCTCTGTCTGACCCTCTGTACCTCGCTGCTTGCTACCTGCTGAACCTGGCCTGTGACCCCGACCATTCTCTGCTTGCTCCCCCTGTACCTACCTGCCCAATTGATATTGACCCGGCCTGCCTGACGACGCTTGCTTGTATGTACTGTTATCTGTGGGTGGTTGGTTTGGTTTGTTTGCACTGTATTATGTTTAGTATTGCACTGCGTTTATGTTTGTATGGTTAGTGTTAATAAATTATATTGTTTATCACATTTCTGAAGTCTGCGTTTCCCTGCATCAGTCACACACCTCTGGTCATACCTGGGAGCCCTGACAACTTCTTTCTTCTCTTCCTTTTGGTCTCTCTTCTTCACTTTCCCCATCTGTTTGATACTCTTCATCTCCTTCTTCATTTCACACTGTTGGTCTACCACGCAGATGATTTCTTTTACCCACTGTTCTTGCTCCTTGCTTTTTCACATTCCGGTATACCGCACCACTTTATCAAATAGTTTACCTCCTTTTCTTTTTTCTCTCTTTCTCCTTTTGGTCTCTCTTCTTCACTTTCTCCATCTGTTTGATACTCTTCATCTCTTTCTTCCTTTCATATTGTTGGTCTACCGTCCAGATGATTTCTTCTACCCACTCTTCTTGCTCCATGCTCCTTGCTCCTTCACATTACGGTATACCGCACCACTTTATCAGATAGTTTACGTCCATCAGTTTTTTCCGTTTCCTCCTTTATCTTTCTCTCCTCATCTTTCTTCATCTGCTTGTTTCTCTCCTTTTCACTCATGCCCTCTATTTCCTTTTTCCGTCTTGCCTCCATCTCCTCCTTCCGTGCTAGCAACCGATGGAGGGATCTTGCAGTCTGCGGTTGATCATGCCACTTCCTTATGTTCTCCCACTTTTCCTTCACCTCTCTTCTCTTCTTCTTCCTATATGAGATTAAAAAATATGGTTAGTACAGGTTTTAAAATTAAAAGTTCTTTTTTTTCACATTTGCAATAGAGTGGAGAAAAGGTTACATGTTTTCCAAGGTATGGGAAGATTTCCCCTCACTTCTTATTCGCTCAGTAGGTGATGAAGTGAGTAGACGCCTTCCGTTATTTCTCCACTGACAATGTCATAAGGTCACCCTGCAGACATGACCTGACCACCTTCAAGTAATTGCAACCTTGGTTTGAGTCCTTATTCTGAATGGTCATGTCATATTTACATCACCCATGCAATGTAGGGGGAGGGGGATTATTGCCTGGGTACATTTAAAAGCAGTCTGGAGTTTGGCTTTAACCTTCACCTCTCGTTGTCATGACAATTTTAAAATTTGGGATTTCTTTGGTTTCAGTGACAGTGGTCACCGGAACTAATCAAGAGGTAGACCTAAGCCTGTACTAAAACTTTAGCAGAGAATTTAACCCATATTTGCTTTACCCATTACTTGGCTGATTAAGCTGAAAGGGAAGGATAGGCAGGACAGAACACACCAAGCGGATGGCAAACACACAAAGCTTTATTGGGACAAAATGACAGTCACACAAAAAGGGGGGATTGTAGGGAGGGTGACCTCGCCAATAGGGGAATAGCAAGGAGAGGGTCAAAACACTTGTAGTCCAGCCCCAAGGGGGCAAAGTTAAGTTCAGGCAAAACGGGAAGCATGCACTCACGGATCGGACAGGGTGCCCGGTCTCCCAGGGAACAAGATAGTATGACACAGGTACCTGCTGGAGTCCGGAGTATGCATGTGGTCTCTCCCTTAGCTGGGTCTCAGGCAGGGCTGGCATGCGGTCTCCCTCCTAGCTGTGGTCTCAGACAGGGTTGGTGTCGGTCTCCCCCTTGGCTGTGGTTTCAGGCAGGGTTGGTGTGCGGTCTCCCCCTAGGCTGGGGTCTCAGGCAGGGTTGGTCTGCGGTCTCCCCCTTGGCTGGCTCAGGTTTCAGTGTCCCCCCCACTCGGTGCCTGAGGTACTGTACCTCAGCCATCCCCAACTGGCATTTGTCTGGTCTCACTGTCAGCCCAACCCTGCAGATGCGGTCCAGGATGGTCCCCACGTGGCACAGGTGCTCCTCCCATGTGTCGCTGAAGATGGCTATGTCATCTAGGTAGGTGCACGCAAACCCTTGGCACCCCTCTAGTAGCTGGTCCACGACCCATTGAAAGGTGGTGGGAGCGTTTTTTTTATGCCAAAGGACATGACTAGGAACTCGTACAAGCCGAACGGGTGATGAAGGTGGAGCGCTCAACGCCCTCCTTGGTGAGGGCGATTTGCCAGTAGCCCTTGCTGAGGTATAGGGTGCTAACGTATTGGGCCCCGGCTAGACGGTCCAGCAGGTCGTCTATGCGGGGCATGGGGTAGGCGTCACTGACGGTGTAGTCATTCATCCTCCGGTAGTCCACGCAAAAGCGGGTGCTCCCATCCTTCTTCGGAACGAGTACCACCGGGGAGGCCCAGCGACTGTGGGAGGGTTGGATGATGCCCAGCCGCAGCATCTCCGAGAGCTCTGGCCGGATGGCTGTCTTCACGGACTCGGGGACTCGGTAGGGGGTCTGCTGGATGGGTTTCTAACTGTGGGTCTCCACGTGGTGGAGGGCTAATCCAGTGCGGCCCGGGGTGGCCGAGAAGGCGATGGC